CTCTATTTTCATATTTGCTTTGCCGATGCATAATGGGACCTTCTTTGCGGGGACTGACTTCCATTCCTCCTAGCATCTCTATTGTTTTCGCTAATTCTTCAGATAATATGACTAAGATCAGCCTCTCTCAGCCCGCATCCAAGATCCGGTTTGTATCCATTTGTTTTGCCTTCGCCTTATTCCTGCCGCCAATCGAAGACAGACTCTTCAAAAACCCTTCGCTCTCTCCCTCTCTCGGAAAACCCTAAATTATCAAAGTCCTTTTCCTTTTTAACTATAGAACCGAATGTCCTTCCAAATTCAATCTTAACTACTAAAAGCGGGAATTTGAAGATATAGATAATTCTGACTTAAAAACAATATCAATCACTTATCAAACAAGGGCTCAACGTTCTAAAAAACTAGAACGGCAATGGAGAAGAGTTCAACGAAACCAAATTAATTATTTATAAGGAATCAGGTTCCATGCATGTGTATTGTGGAGGAGCATTTAGAGTTTAGAACTTGTTTGAGCCACAACCCACCAGTCTCGCCTATTCGGAACTTATGAGAACTAACCATCATTGGGGCGCAGAACCCTGCACAAACAAGCGCCTAGGGGGCCGCTGGGTGCCCGTTAGCACTCCAATGCTCAAGTCAGTGCAAGTTCTAGAGAGATAAGTGTCAAGAGAGATTTTAGTGAGAGAAGCCAACCTGCGTAAATGCCACCTACCGAGCACTATTTATAGTCGTCGAAGCCCCAACCGTCCTCCTGGCATTCAGCTCCACGTCACCACCTCATTTAATGCTCGGTACGGTACAATGGTCAGGCGTCTGTATGGCAGCTCCAGGACGTTCCAAAGGCGGCGCCTAGCAGAGACCACGCCCGCCAGGTGGCTCCTTCTCGGTTTTCCTACTCCGTACCGTTTGTCCTCTCCTCTTTTTTTCGTCATGCGCCTACTCCTCATAATGTAACCCTAATTCACTTACTTGGGCCTGCCTCCTCATTCCACCTCATGGGCTTGGGCCTGACCAATTTCATGTCCCCCTGGGGCCTGTTCATGCTAGCCCAACAATTATCCCCCAGTTAGGCGCTCATGGCTTGTAACGAGCGCCTAACTATGCAAAGTACTAGGATGGTCTCTTCGATGAAGATTCCTGGGTCTAGCCTTTAATAACGTTCTCTAAGTCACACGCCACCAATTCTTGCTCATACATAGGCGCCTAAGCCGACGGCCCCCACGTTCAAACCCACCTGAATCCTTACCCTAGGCGTCTGTTTCGCTCTTCAGTGGAAATCGAGGCGCCCAACCTTCTGCGAATCACCTACTTCCGCCCCCCTCTCACCGTGCGCCTTAAATTTTGAATTTCTATTAATTTTGAATTTTGAATTTTGAAATTCAAATTTTAAACGGACGGTGAGGATGAAATTTAAGGGCCGGGCGCGCGTCCCCATTTTTGCCCGTTGGGATTCTCTCCTATAAATACCAACATCCGCCCCCCTTCTTCCTCATTTGCACCGAAATTTTCTTTCTCTATCCTTCTCTCTCTAGCACGCGTCTCTTGTGCGCCTTCGCCTCCTCGACTCCTCACTTTCTTTTTTCACTTTTTTTTTTGTAGGCACCCCTAGTTGTTTAGGATTTAGCATTGACGTTGCCCCGTTTGCATCGAAAATTATAGGCGATGCGCCTGGATCCACGCAATCGTCTGGGTTGGTGATGTCCCCGATGTCATCAGATTCAGGCTCCCCGGAGGATGGATCCGTGAAGCTAAGGAGATGGGTGGATACTTGGCCATCGGGGCAAGCGCCCCTTGAAACTTGTCATTTAATCGTAGTTGAGGCGGGGCCATTGCATGTTTCTACCGTGAAAGCAATTGAAGTATAAAATCTGGTCGTGTCTTTGCAGCTCCCCCGCTCATGGTCCTTTGCGCTTGCGCCGTGCATAGCCAGAATTGGAGTGGTTGGTCCCCTTTGGTTGGAGATTTACCGAGAATACTTTCGTATTGGGCTTCGCTTCCCCCTAGATTCGATCCTCGAAGGCATACTGACGACGTGCAAATGCTCCATTGGGCGCCTGTCACCCTCCGTCTTTCTTATCCATATTCTATTCAAATTGAAGTGTCGGCAGCACAATGTTGAACCCACGTTTAAACTCTTCCACTACTTCTTCACCATGGCCTATAGCGACAACTAAGATGATGGATATTACAACATTAGTGGTAAATCCTAGACAACTTGATCATATAAAATGGCCTATGGACATGTATTAGACATGTATTATGTGGCCTGTTATAGTGTTTTGTTAGTATTATTAGTCTAAAATTAATTTTTTTATAGAAATTTTGTTAAATAATATTGACTCGACAATATGTATATTGACTGAGAAGAGAGCATCTAATTTAAACAAATTTAAAAATTTTGTCTAATAAGTGACATTTACCTAAACCCAAGTAGACCCTTTGATTATGGTAGGGTATGGGCAACGTATATATGGGTTTGGAAGTTTGTAAATGGGTTTTGGTAGGGTACAGATATTTACTTTCATAATCTAAATGTGTATGAGTTGGATATGGATACCCATTTATTCGATGGTGTTTTAATTACACATACAAATATTAGACCTATTTGTAAAACTTCAAAAATTTAGGTACCAAAATATAATACACAAAAAATTAGGTACTAAAATGTAATGTTCCATCAATATTTTGAGGGCTTATATGCCAAAAAAGTAAATTTGGGTTATAAATCTAAAATGTTATTAAGTTTAGGTACCAAATTGTAATTTGCATAGTTGTGGCTTCATTCCTTTTGCCAAAAAAGTAAATTTGGGTTATAAATCTAAAATGTTATTAAGTTTAGGTACCAAATTGTAATTTGCATAGTTGTGGCTTCATTCCTTTTCTGGTGATGTATTTACGATAATCATTATTTACCTTTTTATGGAAAATAAGAAACTATTTATTTTATATGTGTATATACCTAGCCAAACATTTCATGTATAACTGATGAAAATTCTATCCCGGGTGAAAAAAAACTCTAGAGAGAGGCGAAAGGAATTCAAATTGGAACTCGCTTAAAATTTCACGTTTTTAAATCCCATAATGGAAAATGACAATTTTTGAATAAGTAATAACCATATATATTATTTTTAATCGGACTCGATATTGAGCTAAAAAAATTTGTGGTGCATGGTTCTATTATTAATTCTCTGGACTGTTGGTGAGTCGTGTATGGATTCGTTTCATACTTGTAATTAGAATAAATAAAAATAGTATACTAATTAGGGTTATGAAAGGCGAGTGAAAAATGAAACGAAAAGGAAGTAGATGATGGAAAAGTTTTGACAAATTCTTTTAGTTGGCCGTCAATACAACAGTCGACCTTTTCAACGTAGCAATTTATTGACACTCGCTTATGTAGATGTCGCATATTTTGTTACATGTAGTTAATAGAAGCTTGTTTAGTACCCTGTAAATGTACTATATAAGTTTATAAATTCGATCTTGCAATATTTTAGAGTCGTCACTCTTTTATCATTTATTTAATATATCACTTAATGAGAAAATTGTCAAATCTTCTCCTACAGTTGAGTAATACAACTTCTTGTATGGTACAAACTAAATTTATACTTTTATATTATGGTGGATTGGATTCATGGATTGGTTCCAAAGGATTGGTGGATTGGGCTCTTGGATTCAAATGCTATCTAAACATTGGACCAATATGTAACTTTAAAATTTTGTAGGTATGAAAATCTCATAAAATTTAGATACCAAAACATAATTGTTCAATGATTTCACATTAAAATTAAATTTGGGGCATCAAAATGTAAAATGTTCATTATAGTGACTAAGTTGTAACTTAATTAAATTTGGGGTATCAAAATGTAGTTGTTTATGCAAAAGTAACCAAAATTGTATGGTACAAACTAAATTTATACTTTTATGTTATGATGGATTGGACTCATAAATCGGTTCAAAAGGATTCGTAGATTGGATTAATTGATTCAAGTGAAATCTAAACATTGGACCAATATGTAAATTTTAAAAATTGGAGGTACAAAAATCTCATAAATTTTAGATACCAAAACATAAATGTTTAGTGATTTCACATTTAAATTAAATTTGCGGTATCAAAATGTAAAATGTACATTATAGTGACTAAATTATAACCTAATTAAAACAGTAACCAAACTTCTATAGTAGAAACTAAATTTCTATTTTTACGTTATGGTGGATTGGATTCATCGATTGGTTCAAAAGGATCGGTGAATTGGATTCATAGATTCAAGTGAAAGCTAAAAATTGGACCATATGTAAATTAAAAAATTTGTAGGTACGAAAATCTCATAAATTTCAGATACCGAAACATAATTGTCAACAATTTCACATTTAAATTAAATCTGGGGTATCTAAATATAAAATATAAATATAGTGACTAAGTTGTAACTTAATTAAATTTGGGGTATCAAAATATGAAGTGTAGATTATAGTGACTAAGTTATAACCTAATTAAAACACTAACCAAACTTGTGTATGACTGTATGGTACAAACTAAATTTATACTTTTATGTTATGGTGGATTGGATTCATGGATTGGTTCAAAAGGATTGGTGAATTGAATTCATGGATTCAATTAAAATCTAAACATTGGACCATATCTACATTAAAAAAACTGTAGGTATGAAAATTTCATAAATTTTAGATAACAAAACATAATTGTCAGCGATTTCACATTTAAATTAAATTTGAGGTATCAAAATGTAAATTATAGTGACTAAGTTGTAACTTAATTAAATTTGGGGTATCAAAGTGTAGTTGATTATGCAACAGTAACGATACTTGAGCTTTATATATAGTATTTGGGGTATCTAAATATAAAATATAAATATAGTGACCATGTTGTAACTTAATTATGTTGTCTCTTGCCCTCTTTCTGTTGGTGTTCGACATAGGTCTTGCTAATTGGCTTCCTGGTAACCTCACTCACCTACGGATGGACATCAATTGTTGGATACCTCATGTATGGAGACCACACAAAGTCCCCAATAACCCTAAACCTTCCCGTTGGGAGAATCAGTTCCAAGATCGCAATTTACACCACTCTGGTGAACCCTGTGACCAAATATGCAATAGTCATCACTCCAATTGCAAATGCCATCGAAGAGAGATACATCTTTTCCACCAACTACAGTCAACTTCTTAGCATCCTGATGAGAACCCTAATCTTGGTCAGCACCGTCGTCGTTGCACTAACTGTTCCGTTCTTTGGCTACATCATGGCATTCATGGGCTCGACGTTAAGCGTGATGGGGACGATGTTGCTGCCTTGCTTGTGCTACATTAGGATTAAGGAGTTGGGCAGGAGATTAGGGTTGGAGTTTATGGTGATTGTGGGGATCTTGATCTTTGGTGTTGTTGTTGGCGTTGTGGGGACTTATACTTCGGTGAGACAAATTGCTGAACATTTGTGATATGCTAAGGGAAAATTGTTGCTAGATAAACGTTTGCAAACACTTATAAGATTAATTGTTTACATTTGTAAAGAAAACGGTGTACAAAAAATTCCTCATAACTATATCACATGGTGTATATATGGGATAGACTGGTGTACTCCTGGAGTATACTATATATACTCCAGGTACTTCTTGTGAGATATCTATATTTATACCAGGAATTATATCGAGTTTGGAGTATGATACTATACCTTAATCTCTAATGGAGAAACCCCCAGGCCTCGGTTTTCTAAACCCGAACCCAAAGTCCAATTTAATGGAAAACAATAATCGACTGTTGAGATTGGTCGGAGCTCATCAAAGCACATCTAACGGTAAGATCACATGGAGTTAGGAGTATACTATACTCTTAAAGTATACTAGTCATTACCGTATAAATATAGTTTCGGTCACCTTTTTTTATTGCTACACTATCATGGAAATAATTAGTTCATGTAACATCCCGAACATCGGATAATTTTTTTCCCCAAGTAGCGGACATATATTGCACGTTTTGAGACTGAAAAAAAAATCGAGAAGTTATCCTATACGAGGTAGGATCAACGAAATCACTTAAAAACTCCCCAAACAGCAAAAAGTGCAACAAAAATATATCGTTGGCTGTAGGAATCGAACCCCTGACCTGTTGGTCAGTAAGGAAGGGTTTAGCAACATAACCAGTTAGACTATGCTGGTTTCGATGATACAAAAGGAGCCGAGTCATTAATGAGCTAATGAAGTCGGCATTGCACCAGCAGCTAGCTTGTTTATGGAGCCGGCTTTGGAACTTGAGTTTCTTCCTTTCAAAGCTACTGCTCCTTAGAAGGCCGCCCCAGGCCTTTACTCCATCTGCTGGAAAGTGAATGAAGAGGTAAGAGCATGAATCAAAGAGCTCTATTATACCGGTAAGCTAGCTCTCCATTTTTGCCTTCATACAAACACCAAGAGGAGAAAAGAAAAGAAATAATATGAAACCAAAGCCTAGCATAGTCTCTGTATTCCCAGCAAAGGTTTAGAACCTATACAAACCTGTTTACAAGCCAAAATCACCAAACCAACTCACCAAATATCCTTTACCGAAACATTTGCCGTAACCTTTTCGTTAACCAAACCAGTGCCACTATAGGCAGCATCAGCTTCGAAGCTTGATACCGCTACGAAGAGCAAGTCACCACGAGCATCACAGAGTTTACGGAATTGAATTCCGAGCTCAGACGAGGGAGAAACAAGGCCGGGAAGTTGGTACTTGAGGTAAGGGAATTTCCAGTTTTCTGCAGATTTTGGACAGCAGAAAATTAAGAACTAATCCCTAATTTCGTACTAACGATGATTAGCTCGCAGTTTCTTCGTTTGACGTCCAAACGACGAACCGTTTTCGCCTATAGGACCGTAGAAACAAGGAGAATTTTTAGGAGCCAATCTCTGGAATTTTAGAACTTAATTCCCGACTTGGAATCAGCTAAATTAAGGTGTGTGGGGATTAAGAGGACCTTAATTATTGCATCGATTATTTATGTTTGATTTGCATATTTGGATGGATGGATTACTGTGGGTGATGACTTATTTGTTGATATGATGATTTGGTGATTATTCTTGATTGTTATGGATTTTACGGTGTAAATATCGATATTTGGCAAGTTTCCCCGTAAAAATGAATAGTTGGGTTTATTGAGTCTAAAACTGATTTAAGAGATTTTTGTTTCTCTAAAATGAGGTTGGGGCAGGTTGAGCAAAATATTTCACTTGAAAATGGTTTTCGGATTAAAAACTGCATAACGGTGAATTTTACGAAAAGCTCGGTAGAAACGTGTTTTTATTTATCTTTAAGATTTGGATCACTTCAAAATGGTCAGTGTGGATTATTAAATGGTTTTTGGTCTGAAAAGGGTAAATTAGACAGTTGGTGGAGTTTTTATCTTTAAAACGGTAAAAATGAGCTTAATACGAGATTTGCGATAAATACCGAGTGTAATATTATATTCATGGTTTTGAGCAGTTGAAAAATATAAAAACTGGACAGACCTGTTTTATGATGATAAATGGAGGTTCTTGTATTTTTGGAAGATTTTTGGATTTACCGTTTTGTTGGAATTTAATTTATCGTAAAATAATGGTTAATACGAGATTTTTGATATTTTATTGTCTAAATTGATTTTTATGAACAAAACTAGATTAAATGGATTTTTGTGTCAATAAATTCATTTACATGAATTTTGTGAGGATTTTAATGAAGGAAAGTGAATTTTGAGTTAAGGATATTTTTAACCGCAATCGGGTTATTTATAATTATTTGTGTTGGCGCTATTTCGTGAAATTGTTGATAAATTTTGGATGAGGAATGGTGACATGGTACTGCTGAGTAGCTTTATTGGAGAATGAAATGATTTATGTGATTCGGTATTGGATGATGAAACAGTTGATTTTTTTTGAAACGTCGAGTTGATAATCGACGGGAAATATATATATGGATTTGGTCAATCCGTGAGACTACATTGATTCCGGATTGATTGTGATGGATGAGAAAAATGGAAATAGTTTGATTCGTGATCATATTAATTCACGTAGACATAGAAAGGGCCTGCACTTACCCTCACCCCTTGAGAGTGGGTAGATTTAGCTCGCTTATGCGATTGAGTGTTGTGGTTGCATGAGCACCACGGATGAGTGTTGTGGTTAAAAACCACGGATTGAGTGTTGTGGTTGCATGAGCACCACGGATTGAGTGTTGTGGTTGCATGAGCACCACGGATGATGATTTGCTCGAGCGGGGGTAAGTGTATGGTGACCTTGGCGCCATTAATAATTAACCGGAATTTTCATATCATGCATTGATTATGTGTTCGTGAAATTACGTGATTATCTTATTGGATAAATTGATTTGGTGATGATGAGTTGGTGGATTCGATAATTTGATCGGTAATTTATATATGATGATTTAAGATGGCATCTAGAGTAATAAATTATGATTGTTTGATTAGCTGATTGCGGTCCCAAAATTTGGTCGTGGGAAAGATCCACACACACAGCTTAGTTGCTGACCCACGTCTGTTTTCAGGCTCGCAGGTGCAACTAGGATCGGACTACTGAGGCTGCCCTATCCTTCTGTACTACCATCATGAGGTAGTTTGGAACACTGTTCTGTCATGGTCACCTAGGATTTTTGCTTTGAGTGTTTGAATAATAAACCCACATTTTGTAAAAATTCAATAAGTGGGTTGGGATTCGAATAATGAGTTTGTATGATAACGGTTTATGTTTGTGTTTAATTATCGGATATGATGTTTGAGATGATCGAGTTCAACCAGTAACACCGATGATTTGGCTGCGCGGTTGAACCACGGGTTCAACCATAGAGATTATGGGTGGGGTGTTACAAGTGGTATCAGAGCTCGGTTAGTTCGCTGCACTATAAGTATGTTACCTTAACTCGTGAGGATTAGCTACCCTCAGTCGGGTGAAGGTACTCCATACTCGTATTTGCACCGAGACTTTCAGGGTAATGGGATCAATTGTGACAAAAATATTTTGAAAATGATTTTTAAAATTTTTGAGGGATTGAGAAACGATCTTTGGAAGGAGTTTTTGTGGAAGAAAACTAAAGTTTGATTTCTTTTTCTTTCTTTGTAGTGACCGGAACAGTGTGGGCCCTCGTAATGTTCAGTTAGCACCGCTACCACCACCCATCAGGGTGGAGTTTCCCCAACTTAAGAAATATGGGCTGAAGGAGTTTCGAGGGGATAGTGACGATCCCCAAGAAACGGCAATGTGGTTGAAGGAATCGCGCATTCAGTTCGATTACATGGGATATGATGAGGAGCAGAGGCTCCAAGCAATGGTTATGCTTCTTAAAGGCCATGCCTTGACCTGGTGGGGCTCTCAGGAGGAGGGGCAGGTCTATCCTCCGCTTCTGACGTACCATGATTTTATGGCTATGTTTCGGGCGACTTTCTTTCCACCGGAGTTGATATATAAGAAACAGCGGGAGTTCGATGAACTTAAGCAGGGGGAGATGTCTGTATTGTCTTACTACATCAAATTCTTCGAGCTATCGGAGTGGTGTGAGATTGAGACAGATCGAGACGAGAAGTTGGCCATGAGGTTCCTTCGCGGTCTCCGATACACCATCCAGGAGGGAGTCTCCTCAGCTGATATGGTAAGCTTGAATGCCATTAAGCAGGCTGCCCTGAGGAAAGAGAACCTGGAGAAGGCAAAGAAGGAGTCTTGGAAGGAGAGGCCAGGTGATAGGAAGAGGAAGGCTTTTTTCCAACCGAGTCACTCGGCCGGTTTCACCCAGCATACCCGAAGGGGAGGGCAATACGATCCCAGGCCGAGGGTGACATATTCAGCTCCACCGACCAGGACGGGACCCGCTGGGTATCCACCATGCCCGACCTGCGGGAAGATGCACTTTGGGCGATGTAATAACTTGCCTCAAGGTAGGATCATCTGCTTTGAGTGTGGCCAGGCTGGTCATACCCGACCACAGTGCCCACAACTCACCCGAGCACCAGCACCGTCAGTGGGATCTGTTCAGGGCCCGAGAACCCCATCGGCGGGAGTTTCCAAGGGAGCATCAAGGCAGGGAGGACGTCCTAGATCTCGAGGACCTGGAGCTAACTCCTATCAAGGGGGTGGACCGAGTCAGCAACCCATGGGACGGGGAGCAGGAAGCCAGAATCAGGCGGGACTACGCGCTTTGACTAGAGATGCAGCGGAGGCCGCTACTGATGTTGTCACTGGTATGATAACTTGCTTTGGACATGATCTATATGCCTTGTTTGACACTGGCTCTTCGCATTCCTTTATGTCCGAGAAATGTGCTAGTAACATGCATATCATATCAACCAAGCTGACTACCCGATGGGGTGTGAAAACACCATTGGGCACTTCGGTGGTAGTTAATCGCGTGATACGCGATTGTGATGTTGTGATGGGAGGAGTAGCATTGAAGGCAGAGCTGATGATTTTGCCTTTCAATG